TCATGCCAGTGTAGACATAGCCTAAATGTAGCTGCAGAGTTTGTTTCAGCTTACTGATTTCAATTGGGTACCAGCGTGGCATAGAGTTTAACATACAAATGACCACAGTGGGTCAGACCAGTGGTCCCTCTAGTCCAGTATTAGTGGCCAGTGCTAGATGCTTCAGAGAAATGAACAGAATAGGGCAAATTATCAAGTGTTACTCAGCCCCAGTTTCTGGCAGTCAGAGGCTTAGGGACACCCAAAGTATTGAATTACATCCCAAAAATGTTGGTTAATAGCCATTGACTGAGCCATACTCCATGAACTTCTCTAGTTCTTTTTTGAACTTATTTATTCTTTTGGCCGCCACAGCATCTCTTGACAATCACTTCAACAGGTTGACTGTGCGATGTATGAAGTTCTTTATTTTGTTTATTTTAAACCTAACTGCCTATTAATTTCACTGGGTGACCCCTGTTGTTTGTGTTATGAAGAAGTAAGTAGCACTTCCTTATTCACGTTCTCCACACGTGAATTGAGTTTGTAGACCTTTATATATCCTTCCCATTTGTTTTTTTCTTTTCTAAAATGAACTCTCAGATTTTTTAATTTCGCCTCCTATGGACACTGTTCCTCACCCCTAATCATTTTTATTTCCCTTCTCTGTACTTTTTCCTATTTCAATGTATCTTTTTGAAGATGGGTGACCAGAACTGCGTATAGTATTCAAGGTGTGAGAGCACCATGGATTTATATAAGTGGCTACTCCTAGGGAAATTCTGTGCCATTGTACATTCACAGAGTTTATGTCTTCCTCAGATATCTTTGCTTCCCCACAGGAATTATTTTCTAAGGGGGAAGCAAAGAGAAGCTACAAGAGCAGCTATGCAACCCTCCCTAGCAGTATGTTTTGGGTGCCTAGGGCAGCCAGCAGAGAGGCAGATGACTGTGGGGCAAGGTATGGGATTGAGGAAGATCTAGCTGGTGGCTCCTACCTAGTGCTGGGCTCAACTGCTAGTCCCGGTTGGTCTGGGAAGGATGGGACTTCCTCTTCTCCTGCATAGCTTCTGGGAACCGGTCAGACCCATCCCCAGCTTTCTTTGCTAGCTACAGGAAACTCTGCAAACTCCCTCCCTGCTCTGCTTTCTGCATCTAATACTCCTTCAGCTGCAAGGAGATGCTCCCAAATCCACCTAACCTCTATGCATCCTGACTCCCTTATATGCAGACCCTCCTGCTGAGCCTCAGAACCTCATCCAAGTGAGCCCCACTACACTGCACCTGGACCATCCTGATGAGTCTCCCACACCAAATTAACCCCAATCAGCTGCACCTGGATTCCCACCCCATTGAGTGCTACACCCCAGCTAGTTGACCTCCTGCTGAGCCCCCCACATTTAGCTTTATGCTCTCCATACTCAGACCTGCCCTGCTGAGTCCAAACACCTTTACCTGGACCCCCCTGCAGAGTCCCATTATCATTGCACACACCATCTCCTCCCCTCCCCCCTCCCCCCTCCCCGAATCCAGACTGCCCAACACAAAAGCCTTTCAACCCACAGCTGGATTCCCCATGCCAATCCCTTCCACAGTTGGATCCTGGCTTGCTGAGCTTGCCTGCCCACATCTGGTGCACCTGGCACAGAGGGGCAGGGCCTTGGGTGCTTCTGAGGCAGGCCCAGTACTTGCGCTGTGTCAGGGTTAGGCTCTGCCTCACTGCTAAAACCATACCTGGGGGGGAGAGCTACAGAGTGACCTCCCACATCTGTGTAGTCAGTGGCCTGTGCTCCCCAATGCCATGCTGGTGCCTCCACATTTATTTGACAAATAACATTTGCAAAATTTTGCAGAATCTTAAAATATTGCGCACAGAGGTTTGAAATTTTTGGTGTCGAATTTTCAAATATTTGGTGCAGAATGCCCTTGGGAGTAAGTAGCATTAGGATATATTCTATCCTACTATCTATTTCTTTCTTAACGGTTTTTAATGCTCCGTCAGCTGTTTTAAATGCTGCTGCACGCTGAAATGATGTTTTCTGAGAACTATCCACTATAATTCCAAGGTCTCTTTCTTGAGTGTTAACAGCTATTTTAGACCCCATCATTTTGGATATACAGTTGGGATTATGTTTTCCAATGTGCACCACTTTGCATTTATCAATGCAAAATTTTATCTGCCATTTTCTTGCCAAATCACCCAGTTACTCTATACTGGTGTTATCAGAACTGTTCTGTCCATAGGACAAATAGGGATGGCCATCCCAGGCCTCGTACTTTTGGGGACCAGAGGCCATTCCATGGACAGGAGGGACCCAGAGGATTACAGGAACCTGGTGCACTGTAATAGCATGGGTCGCTCCCCCGCACTCACAATGTGGGTGGCAGGAGCTGAACGAGGGGCAAAGGGGCGGAGCAGGGGCACAGCTTGTAGAAGGGGTGGAGCAAAGGATGGGCCTGTGGTGGAGGAGGGAGGGTTGCCCAGGGCCTATGCCTGAGCACTGCAGGGGGCGTGCTCTCTGCCCGCATCCCACTCGGGATGGCCCTGGATGTTTTTATATGGTAACTGCACAGTTCTCTGAGAATATTAGTGGCAAGGAGAGGGAGAAGATATTGCTGAAACAACTGTAATGTTTACTAATATTTTATGCTTTACTTGAATCTTCTGCTACCTCTTTTGTGTTTTCATTAAAATGTTGTAGTTACATACTAATTTTACAACGTCTCAGGATCAAAGGGTGCCTCAAACAAAATTATTAGCACTCTACTGTTTTGATTTTTACATTGCCTCTTTTGTTCTCTCATTTTGGTTAAATTTAAGCTGTTTAGATAAGCAGCATCAATTCACCTTGGCAATGAATACATGGAAAGCAAGGAGTTTATAAAGTAAGTAAGATTATTTAGTATTTTAGTTGCTTGCCATTTTGCAGATTTGTTTCCTGTTGTAATTTTATTTTAACTGAGGTTGCTAGGAAATGTTTATATTTTTAGCAAGGCTGTGGCCAAATACATCTGTAAGAAGATGGGAAATGGCCACTTCATGAACAAAATGACATGCCATCTAGTATTTAATTTGGGGTATATTGTTCCTATAGCTTTATTCCAGTGTGATTGTTGTTGATTATAATCATTATAACAATGCAGCATTCCAACAGCATCAGGGGAAAGAAATCACTTTGGAAACTAAATATTATCAGTTGTTTAATAATACAGTGAGGAGAGAGGCGGGTAAATTCCATTGTAGCCATTTTTATCATTTTCTCTACTAATGCTATTGTTCTGGTGCAGATGGCAACTGCAGAAATATGATGAGAAGGGTAGAACCGAGAGTTAATGAGGAGGAGGATGGTGATAATAGTAATTAATAGTAATACTCACCAGTGACACGGATGGATTCGAGCATCATTCTTCTTGCAGTCTGTGTGTGTGTAGGGCTGTGTGTGTGTGTGTGTGTGTGTGT